TTTCTCAAACCATATTAACTTTGAAGTGTAATACATAAACTTCAAGCGTAGATACACCTTGCGGTGTGCCAATCAATATTAAGCATTATTTTTGCAATTTTGTAAAGCCTTCAGTCATTCTTTTGCCCACTTGGCAGAAAATCAACATTTTCATGATCAAAAAATCTCATAATTTTTTTTTCAGAGTTTTCTTCTAGATTTTGGCTGGCATTATAATGGTACTTGATTACAAAGCTACATAGTTAGGAAACCTATTAATGTTTAACCATTAGGTAGAGTATTTTTAAACAATCAAAACAAAAGCCATCTATTTTAGCAAAAAGTGAGGAAAATGGGAAACTAAAACATTTACTTTTAAAAATTGTGCGAGGACCATTCACCTAAAATTTCTTCAAACAGGCACTGTTTTTGTCTTCAAAGACTGTACTACAATGTACTATAAGTCCCACAGTGCGCCAATTGGTTTAAACGTAAAAATATCTAAAATATCCAAGGTGAATCGATTTTGTAAGTTGGCGCGAAAAATGACATACAATAATAATGTTTGCAGAAGGAAATTGGACGTTTATCAACACAGTACGCTTCAATACATGCATAAATTGAGATTTATTTGGGCATACGATAACACTCTTTCACATGCAATAAATTTTTTGTGAAATCAACATAAATTTCAAGGTGTATTTGCAGGATAATTTGTGGGAGCGAACGGCAATGGGGCTTTTAAAGTCGAAGAAAGGTCGCTCACTTCAAAAGGCAAAATACAAATATCTGAGGCCAAGATCAAATCGATGCAGAAAAGACACAAAGTTTAGGCATATATGTTGCTATAGACGGAATTATTTTTAAGATCTAGCCACATAAAAGCAGAACTGAAACAGTTAAAATATTCGTACCTTCTTGGCTTCTGCATTCGAAGTATACACCTCCAGAGTTCGAAGCACGTTGTTGTTGTTTAAAACGCCGTGGAGACGTTTTATTAACTTCCAGTACAGGCAAATATGCTGAATATACCATTTCATGTTTTAGATGTAACATCGAGCGAGTTTTCATGAGATCAATAAGCAAAATTTAAACACGTTCACTCCTTTGCCGCCATGTTCCAAAAAACAACAAAATTTACTATTTTTTCGCAAAGCATCACGGTATTTTTGATCGCGAGTTTCTCAATTTTTAAAAAAATCTCCTCTTAATTCATTTTATTTCGAATATCAAAGTCCGATCCGACTACGAAACAACTTTATCAATTCGATCCGATCCGAAATGTATATTTTTGTTCTCGGATTTGCACACCTCTAATAGAGACAACAAATATTTTAGAGAAGATATAAGTAGGCATTTCCCTTAAAATTCCCTTCCAAATGAACACATTTTTAAGCATTACTGCAACTTATAATTAGTTTTAATAGAATCGTTTCAGGTCTTTGTACTACATGGATAACTATATCATATGACAATCCATTTATATTAGTATATTTGACCGATCAAAAAAACCAACTGTCTAGATTATGGAAACTGGGTTTGAATTAAGCATGTCCAGTGGGGATATTTTTGGGGGCACACTTGATAATGATATCATTAAGTTTTCTTGTTTGTATCAAAGGTAGTTTACATAATAATTTGAATAGATTGGAAACTTCGTGGAACTACAACCAACTGTTATATTGTTGTGGGAGAATTATTCTCCAATTCTGCACTGCCTTTGCATCATGGCCATTTACAGTGATTACCATTCAATTACATTGCTCTCTTATATACCTTTCCAAAAATGCTTTGCAATTAAAGAAAGAAGTCTTTTATCCGACTCTTTCCTTCCAGTTGCCGCCAGAAAATTTCCTCGCATAGAGTCATCCTTGACTTCCTTATGAACGGCAGGCATAACGTGATTAAAACCTCGTGGCAATCCCTGGGAATCTAGTAAGAAATAAAAGAAAACATTTATTTCTTGTCCCCAGCTAAAGGAGAGAAAGGGCGAGAATGTAGAGATCTATGTGAATATTAAGTAGAAAAAGATGCAAGAATACTATAAGTTTCCACAACAGGTAACCTTTGGAGTTGGTCAAATTTTTCATATCCTCTAAAATATTCCCAGTTTGCCAGAAAGTTGCCTGTAGAAGAAGCTCAGCACCGCAGTAGCTACTGTATGTATACGTTCATATGTTAATTAATGGTCTATTTATCATCGTTGTAACGTGCATGTATATATATTTGTATATTTTTGTTCAATTTAAATATTGACAATTCTGCAGTAATAATTGTAATATTGATGCAGGACCCACTGAATAGAATAGAATAGAAACTTTATTTCACGAGGGAAAACGTATTAACCATAAAAGCTATCTAACATACGGCCCTCGCACTATTTTGATATTTACAGGCATAAAAATTATTAACGATTGCGACTATTTACATATGAGAAAAAAATAATTAGTAATGAATACAATTACAATTTAGTAAATATTTACAATTTATGCAAAATAGATCTTCAATATGGTTAGTAAGGTTAAGCTTGTTAAGAAATATTTTACGAATTTTTTGTTTGACGTTAGTATATGAAGAGCAAGATGGCGAAGCAGCAAGTTGCTTACAATCGCTATCTAAGCAATTAAAAAGAATGGACAAGCACTGTACAAAAATGTTCGTTTACCAGTGTCAGTACGCGGGAAAAGGGGTTGAAGGTCATATGCGCAAGCTCTAGTCAGAGCCCGTTGTCGAATAGAAGATAAGAATTTAAACATTTGCTTAAATCAGTGAAGATGGAGCACTGGGATTTGTGAGAATGTTAATTAGTAAGAGAATTAAGCTTCCGAAATTTAACAAGATCAAAGATTGGGATTATTCGAATCTGGGAAAAAAGAAGAACAGAAGGAGTAGAAAAGTCAGCGTCTAGAATAATACGCGCTGCACGCTTTTGCAGTCGAAGAATGCGAAGTAAAAGTGTTTTTGAGCAGTTTCCCCAAGTTACAGAGCAGTAACAAAAAAAACCCCAGAGTGGCCGGGTCACCGCAACAGCTTATTGCCAATTACTGCGGGCCCGGTTAGTTACAATCAAACAAACAACAGACATTCAACTGGACAGACTAACAAACCTACGAACAAACAATATTAGTTTCTAAAAGCAACAGGATATCGGATATGTAAGACTTCGTACAGAGTTACATTTCGGGCATATAGTTTTAAATGTTCGAAGATTATCAGGATTATAATTAACTTCTAAAGATTTGTGATAGTATTCCAGTAAGGCTGATCTAAAGGAATTGAAGCAGTTCGTGTCATAATTTAGTTCATCTACGAGAGTATTCCATATTCGACACATTCAGACAAAAAACGACTGCTGGTAGATACTGGTTTTACATTTGCGGACAAGATATTTAGCGTTATTACTTGATGATGATCGTGTCGTTCTTTGCATAACATGAATGTCAGGAAGAGCAGACATTTCTACTAAACCGTGTGTGATTTTGAAGAAGAGGATCAAGTCTAGGTATTCATGCCAGTAAGATACGGGAAGAAGATGCAAGGATTGTAATCTTGTTTTATAGTCTACGTCTGTCGAGAACGGCAAGTTCAAAATATATTTTGTTGTCCGCCTCTGAGTTCTTTCTAAAATGTCAATAAGTTCAATCGTCTGCGGTGCCCAAATCTGGGAGGCATACCCGAAATGAGATCGAACCAGTGCAAGATACAGTGTTCGTCTTGGTGCAGTACTTTTGATGAACATGGTATTTCTTCTTATATAGCCTAACAGTTGGTTTGCTTTTGACGCCTGATGGTGAACTTGCGTTTTCCACGTAAGGTTTGATGCTATGCATATTACCACCGAAGCCGTAATTTCTCAGTTTAGTAATTATTTTCGTATGATTAATCCGATTAAAGGCTTTAGACATATCGAGATAGATCGTATCTACCTGTCCCCCATTGTCCAGAATCCTGCCAATATAATCAATTGCCTCTAAAAGATTTGTTACACATGATTTACCTCGAAGGAGCCCGTGTTGACACTTGCAGATGATCTGGGACAAATGCCACTTGATGTTCATAAGGACACAACGTTCTAGCTGTTTCGAAACAATCGATAAGAGTGAGATCGGTCTGTAGTTTTCGCAGTGATCTTTTTCACCTTTCTTAAATACAGGTACAACATTTGCTAGCTTCTATTCTTCTGGAACCGTGCCAAGACGTAATGATTTATTAAATAATTTACAAAGAGAGGGAGCAATGATAGAGGCAGTTACTTTGAGTAGTCTGGCTGGAATTTCATCTGGACCGGTTGCTTTGTTGCTATCGAGGGTTTTAAGTAAAGTTTCAATTTCCAGTTCGCTTACAATTACTTCAGATATGAGTGGGTCAGTACTTAGTTCTTCAGATTGATCAGATAAGTTGTCTGTTGCAAATACTGATGCAAAGTAGATAAGACTTGAATTAATACAGGAGTTATAGAAACGAAGAGCACAGTCCTTAGTTAAAAAATGTTTAATCCTGCGTAATAAAGCAAGTCTACTATTAATTGTTGAACACAAGTTGTCAATATGCTTGGTCCAAATTAAAAACTCGTCAAGCGTTAAACCCAACACTTTTGCTTGCTTCACCTGTGCAAGCATATTGCCATCAAGAATAACTGACAGAGAACGGTCTAATAAATAACACGTATTATTATATTATATTATATTATATTATATTATATTATATTATATTATATTATATTATATTATATTATATTATATTATATCATATCATATCATATCATATCATATCATATCATATCATATTATATTATATTATATTATATTTTATTTTTTATCAGTGAAAATGAAGCAATGTGATTGGCTGAGAGCCTTTCAGAGCGGGCCGGTTTTTTGCACCCGGCCCGCTCTGAAACGCAACTGCCCGCTCTGAAACGCAACTGCCCGCTGTGAAATGCAACTGCCCGCTCTGGATTTCGCGCCAAAAACCGAGGAGTGAAACAATTTTTAAACGAAAAAATCTGCCAAAAACGTTTGAAAAACATAGCCTAACGATAGTCAGAATACAAAAATGAATTGCATCAAGCCATAAAGACTTCATACTAAGCACGATGTTCACCAGAATTGACAATATTTTGATAGAAATGTGACTGAAAGACGGAAAGTTTATATTTGACATGCATGAATAAAACTTACGTCGAGAAAACTACATATTTTTTAAATGCTCATGTATTCGGCCACTTAAAAGCGAAAAAATTACAGCTTAAACAGAAATTGTAAAATAAATGTTTTCCCATTTAAAAGAAGGTTTAACTGCAGCAGTAAAAACAAGTTACGAATATATTCTCTACCCATTTGTGTCATGCATTTTTCACTGATATAAATATTGTAAACAAAGCAAATGTTTGTGTTTAAAAACACTTTTTCAAGCATATTATCCTGAGACGAGAAGAAAAAATACAAAAATATAAAAACAACATACCTTTTACATTGTCCTTTTAGTAGAAAAACGATGTTAAATCAAAACAGATTCATTTTTATATGTTTTTGATCGGAACTGAACATGAACCTGTCGTTGTCAGGACTCCGGAGCAACTGATTTTGTCAAAGCCAAAGGCAAAGCCAAAACGCCAGGTATAAAAGTTTTTATTCCAAAGCTTCTCTGCTATCATATTTATGAAAAAAGCATGTACATCTTTACTGAAACTATACGTCTTTTTGTGTGTTTCTTGCCAGTTTTATCAAGTTTTCGTATTCGTGTTTTATATCTTTCAACTTTTCAATTTTTGTCAGCCTCGCTTTGAAAATACACAACTGCACTGATCTCAAATTAGTTCGCAAGCAACACTGGAATTTTAATGAATTTAATTTTTACATCTGATAGAAAATAAACACGTTATTTACCGGCAGCGTCGGTCCTAGCCTGCGAACAGGCTCTCAAGCTGAATTGAGAGCCTGCATCGATGACGAATGAATTTGAATATCTGCGTCTCAAATCGTGACGCGAAATTCTCATTGGTCAGATGCTATAATTTATATGTTTCCGCTGAGCTCTATATATATTAACTGCCGAAGCACTATGCATAAAAAAACACATTAAATGATCAAATTGATTTTGGCCATCTTATCTCAAAGCACGAAATGATCTGATTTGAGAAAACAGTATTTAAAACATTTGAACTTTTGCTTGAATATCTTATATTTCGAAAAACAGTATAAACTGTACGGTCTAAATTTACTTTGCACGGTCTAAATTTAGTTTGCACGAAAGTTGTAAACAACACCATATAAGGATAGGCATTCCATATTTGGAAAAACGAACGTTACGGGGCAGATATTCGAATTCATTCGTCATCGATGCAGGCTCTCAATTTAGCTTGAGAGCCTGTTCGCAGGCTACGTCTGTCCGGATGAGAAAAACTGTGCCCTCGGTCTTGAAAACGTCCCTCGCCCTTCGGGCTCGGGCCGTTTTCAAGACCTCGGGCACAGTTTTTCTCATCCGGACCTCGCAGCCGGTAAATAACATATATATATTTTATTATATGGATATGAGTAAAATACCGTAAAATACGCCACTGATATTTTCCGTATTTCACTATAGTGAAATATGAAATCATATCTTACGCGGGAACGTCTCGCGCGGGACCCACGCTAATTCCCACCATTTTGCCGTTTCTGTTTTGAATATACAATATGACAACTTCTCGACATTTTGTTGATGTTTTCGACGCTGATTTGGCAAGGTTTTCTGAAGAAAATGAAAACACAAAAAGGAAGACTAATTAGTCCTATTTGGCGATCTTCAGCGACTATATAGCCTCGATTAGCAAGCGGAGAGACATAAACATTGTTGCCGTACGGTAAGCTGAAAACAAAAAACAAAACTTGAATAA